AGTTCAAGACCAGCCTGGCCAACATGGTGAAACCCTGTCTCTATTAAAAATACAAAAATTAGCTGGGCGTGGTGGCGGGTGCCTGTAATCCCAGCTACTGGGGAGGCTGAGGCAGGAGAATTGCTTGAGCCCAGCAGGCGAAGGTTGCAATGAGCCGAGATTGCACCAGTGCACTCCAGCCTGGGCCACAGAGCCAGACTCTGTCTCAGAAATAAAACAAAATAAACAACAACAAAAAAAACCCCAGCAGTTTGTAGGCAGGTACCCAGTAAGATGCCTCATGGATTCTGGGGGCCTGCCCCGTTCCTTCAGACACATTATGACCTCATTGACTTACGTCACAACTTAATAAAGCCCTCTTTTAGCATGAGAGATCTCCTGCAGAATCTGTAGCGATCGGTTCCCTCTGGAATGAAGTTGGTTGCATTTACCCCTGTGTTCAGGAACGAAGATGCCGAGGAGCCTGCCTACGGAGACACGGCCAGTAACGGAGACCCCCAGATCCACGTGGGACTCCTGTGAGTACAGACCCTAGCCTGTTGCCCCTCAGGCTGGGCTGGAGACCGGGTCCACCCCATGGCTCCCACCTGCACACACAGGGCTGGAGGGACCTTTGTTACCCCAGGTCTCAGGTGAGGGGACAGAGTTGGCAGGAAGGAGTGACGGGGAAAGGTGGCTCCACTGTTGTCTTCCAACACGGAGATGCACAGCTGGGAGCCACCACTTCCTGAAGCCGGGGGCTCTGGCAGAGTGCGACCTTCGGGGACGGTTGTGCCTGTGCCTGCCGGGGCTTGATTCTGCTCACTGCAGCACGGGTAGCAGGCTCCCTCCCTCACCCTCAAAGAAGTAATCTGCTGGTTGGCAGGACAACAATTGTTGGTTTCTAATTAGAGTGTCAATAAAGGCAGTGACTGCGAGGTGCCCCTGAGGGAGACAGGTGTTTGGGTCCCAGCCATTTCCTTTGCTCACTCTTTTCACTGCAGTCCAGGGCTCCTCCACCCAGCATGGGTGGCATTTGGTCATTGTTTGTTACGGGGACTGTGCTGTACCTGGGCTTTACCCACTGGGTGCAGATGTGCCCTGGGGATAGGGTGGGGCAGAACCCCAGGCAGTAGATGGCCACGGCTGCGGTTGAGTCAGAAGGATGGTTTCACTGGGAGGCACCTGCCGACCGTGACTCATGTCTGGTTTCCTAGGCGCGACAGCGGCAACGAGTGTCTGCTCGTGCACGTGCTGCAGCTGAAGAACCCGGCGGGGCTGGCGGTGAAGGAAGACTGCAAAGTGTAAGCCAGGCTCCGGGGCGCTGGCCAGCTGGCCACATGGCTGAGGAGGGAAAAGACAGTTTGGGAGCCTGAATTTCCAGGAAAGCACCAGGAAGTGTCTGTCTGAGGTGTAAAGTCTTCAAAAGAATCTAGTGAATGATTTGAGGCCGGTGCAGGTGCCGGTGCCAGTGCCCAGCTAGTGTGTGCCATGTTGGCGCAGAGGAGCCTTTTGCATTCTCCTGGTGCTGGGGATGGGGTTGCTGATGCTGTCGTGCTCTGCTCTGTGATCTTGAGAGACCTCTGGCTGGGACCAGGGCGTCCTTGACGGAGCGGGGAGGAGAAAATAGGCGTCGGGAGCAGCTAGTGCCTTTGGCCTCAGTTGTGGGGCCGCTGCCTCTCTGAGCTCCGTGGCTCCAGATGGGGGCCTGATAGAGGGTCCCACTTACCCAAGCAGGTGACCATGCCTGTAATGGTCTGTTCAAGGCACAGGGTGGGCCCCTTTTGGCGAGTCTTCTAAAGGCCTTAGGACCCCTGAGTGTGAGCAGCTGGGGGCTTGGCTGGGGTTTGGCCACCCCAGTGACCTCTGCAGTGCTCACAGATGGCTCAGCCCCTCCCATGTGCCAGACTTGGGGCAGGGAGGGTGGGAAACACGGGCTACCCCATGGGTGATGGACTGAGAAAGCAGTGGGGGAGCCGTGCAGAAAGAGCTGAGGGGCAATTCCCAAAAAGATGGGGAGCAGTAGGGCCTGGAAGCGTCCACTGCTTCAGTCCTGGCTTGGAAGGCATCCTCCTTGTGGGGGACTTCCCCTATCCCTGGGGTACATCGGTCTATGCTTAGTTGAGAAAGGAGCTTTTTGCAAAGGACTCAGACTGTAGCTACAGGTCCCCAAAGGGGGCTGCACATGGGGGCTCTGCGCGCATCGTGTAGGTCGTGCCTGCTCTGGGCCCGAGGCATCTGTGAGCGCCGCCTGCACGTGCTCTTCCCTCCCCCATTCTATTTGCAGCCACATCCGCGTCTATTTGCCACCACTGGACTTGGGCACGCCCAACACTTACTGCTCCAAGGCTCTGGAGTTCCAGGTGCCGCTGGTGTTCAATGAAGTGTTCAGAATCCCCGTGCACTCCAGCGCATTGACACTGAAGTCACTTCAGTTATACGTGTGTTCGGTGACTCCGCAGCTGCAGGAAGAACTGCTGGTATGGCGCCAGGCGCTCCGCCCGCCCCCGGCCTCCTTCCTTCCTTTGTGTTTCAGTCAGCCGGTCTTTTTTGTGTGTGTATCTTTCTTTCCCTTCTTTCTCTTGTACTCTTTTGTGATAATTTCTTAGTTTTTGTCTGTCTTTGCCTTTTGGCCTCCCTCTCTCTCTTCTGCCTCCGTCTCTGGTTCCCTCACTCCTTTCCCCTCTGCCATCCTTCCTTTCTCCCGTGGTGGGTTGCTTAGAAGTTGTGATCTTCTTAAGTATTTCTGTGGCTGGAAATACAAACAGGGATGATCCAACCAGTGATCTTGTCAAGTACGTTGTACTTTAAATGCGTCCTCTCAGCTAGTACTCACAAACCCTGTGGGATGCCTTTGCGTCAGCCCCATCTTCAGTCCAGGGAACAAAGTAGGGTTGACAGATTTAGCAAATTAAAATACAAGACAGTCAGCTAAATTCAAACTTCAAGTAAATTATGGATGTTCTTTAAAGCGTAAGTATTTCCCATGCGGTGTTTAAGACTCACAGGGAAACCCTGTGTTGTTTATTTGAAGTGCAGATTCACCGGGGTGCCCTGCACGTTACCTGGCAACCCTGGAACGAGGCCTCAGGAGAATCCGCAGTTTGTCCTCAGTATTCCAGCCATCCAGGGCCCATGCCAGGGTTGGAAGCCAGGGTGGATTCCTTCCATGGCTGGAGTGTTCTCCCTTGGTCCTCTCCCCTCAGCAGCACAATTAGGGCATGTAGAGTTCAGCAGTCGTTTCTTATTTCAGAAATTCCTGAGCAAATCTGCCTCATCAGGGCAGTAGAGCTGTGAGCCTGGCCCAGAACTCCGGGTTGCCCATTCTTTGCCCTGTCTCTTCTCTTCCCAGCACTTTCTGATTGGGTGGAACAGGCGACCAGGGAGCCACCCATTAGATTCCTCTGCAGTTGCTTTCATTGTGCTGCAGTCCTTTAAGTAACCCCGTCTCTACTACAAATACAAAAAATAACCGGGTGTGGTGGCGCACACTTATAATCCTAACTACTCGGGAGGCTGAGGCGGGGAAATCTGTTGAACCAGGGAGGTGGAGGTTGCAGTGAGCTGAGATCGCACCACTGTCCTACAGCCTGGGCAACAGGGCGAGACTCCATCTCTCTCTCTCTGTCTCTCTCTCTCTCACACACACACACAAAGATTGAAGGGTGAAGTGAATTTTTTTGAGACCGGGTCTCTGTTGCCCAGGCTGGAACGCAGTGGTATGATTTCGGCTCACCGCAGCCTCCTAAGTAGATGGGGCCACAGTTGTACATCATCATGCCCGGCTGATTTTTAAATTTTTTGTAGAGGCAGAGTCTTGCTCTTTTGCCCAGGCTGGTCTCGAACTCCTGGGCTCAAACAATCCTCCCACCTCGGCCTCCCAAATCCCATGCCTGGGATTACAGGCATGAGCCACCTGCCCTGCCTTAACTGAATATTTTAAAGGCCTCTAGTCATTATGGTGAAATCATTCAGTGCCTGTTCTGACGTTTCTTTAATACCCCTGCAGGGCATTGCTCAGATTAACCTGGCTGACTATGACAGTTTGAGTGAGATGCAGCTGCGCTGGCATTCCGTCCAGGTGTTCACCAGCTCTGAGCCATCGAGGACGCGGGAGCCTGGGTGTGCGGGAGAGAGCTCCGCCCGGGATCCTGCACACACCATCTCCATCTCCGGCAAAACGGTACTTGGCCCTGCTCTAAGGAGCTGATCGCTGCTGCCTTCATGACCCTGAGACTGACTTTGTCTTTGGGAAGTCATTTCTTAGAAGTGTCTTTGTAGATATGAGTCAGTATAGTGGGGTAAAGGAGTAGTTTCCATACGGCCATTGCTTGAGAATTTTTTTTTAATGCAAACGTGTTCACGGTACACATGGTCATGAGTGGTACCTGGGTGGTACACTGGCTACTTTTAAATAGGAGCCCTCAGAGCTGCAGAAAAAGGCTACATGAATGCCTCCACCCCAGACCTAGGTAGGGTGAGTTTCTTCTCACGGAAGGGCAGCAGAGTGGCCTCCTATCTGTGCCGTGTGGACACCTGCTGTGTACGCAGGGTCTGCTGGCCTGAGCTGTCCTCACGCACCCCCTCCTCCTGCAGGATGCGGTGACAGTGCTCCTGGCCAGAACCACGGCACAGCTGCAGGCGGTGGAGAGGGAGCTGGCCGAGGAGCGGGCCAAGCTGGAGTACACGGAGGAGGAGGTCCTGGAGATGGAGCGCAAGGAGGAGCAGACCGAGGCTGTATCCGAGCGGTAAGGGCTAATTCAGCGGGCGCGGGCTCCGGCTCGTGCCCTCCCTGGAAAGGAGCATGGGTGCCCTGTGGTCAGAACGCTCGTGAAAACTGTCGTGGGAAGCACATTTTCTCTGGGGAGACAGCCAGTGTGCCAGGCAGCGTAGCTGTCTCTGAGATGCACTTGCTTTCCTCAGCCATGCCTCCATAGAAGGTGCTGGGCAATCGTTAGGTACCACTGCCCAGAAGTTGATTCTGGAGGGAATTGAGTGCTGGTCTGGATGAGGGCAGCTCCCTGAAGTCTCTCTCCTGACTCTCACGTGTGCTTTTCACTTTTTCCTTCTGTCTGTCCTGGAGTTTCTCGTCAAGAGTGGGGCTGTTGAAGTACTGCCCTCTCCCAGGATTGGATACAGTAAGGTCCCTTAAAGCTGTTGGATTTTTTTCTTTTTAACACCTTTATTGAGATACAGTCTACCTCCCATACAGTTCACCCATTTAAAGTGCACAGTTAGGTGGTTTTTAGGACTGAACGGGCACAGTCAATTTTACAGCATTTTATTTTCATCACACCCTCTCTGCCTATCCCTAGCCAAATGCGCTCCCAGGTTCCCCTCTGATTCCCTGCAACTACAAATCTGCCCTCTGTGTCTATAGACCTGCCGGTCTGGACACTTCCTACAAAGGGGGTCATGCGGTGTCCCTTTCTGCTTCACCTGAAGCAGCCTGTTGGTGAATCCTTGGCCCCGTGGAGACCTGCATGTGATAGATGAATGATTCCGTTGAATGGGCGCCTCTGGTGCCCTGGCTTGTGTTCGTTGTCTCTGGAGGTGCTGTACATATTGCTGTACTTCCACATTTTTCCATAAAGTGCACCATCTTTCCAGGGCTTCCTGCTGCTTCCCGATGGCTTTCTCTGAGCTTAGTTTACAGAGGAGTTTATTTTGGGGAGCGATAGTGCATGCAGAGGGGAAGGTGTTGTGTTCAGGGATGGACAGGAGTTGGGAGGGGTTTGGGGCTGAGTGGTGCAGTTTTCTGGAATCTTCAGTGGCTGCCACTGGTGATAGAGAAAGCCCCTCTTAAGGAAAGTCCTTCAAGAGCCATCTTCCCTGGAAAACAGAAGCACCTTTTTACTTTATGAGAGACGCAACAGTCTTCAATCATTGGAAAGAAATAGGTTTTATTGCATTACCTCTACTACTGTGCTCTAAGAGTAGCATGAAATACATCCTGTTTGGTGACCATTTGGGCTTCTGCCATGTCCGCCTTCAGGAGTTGGCAAGCAGACTCGGTGGATAGCGGCTGTAGCAACTGCACCCAGACCAGCCCTCCGTACCCAGAGCCCTGTTGCGTGGGTATCGACTCCATCCTGGGCCATCCATTTGCTGCTCAGGCAGGGCCTTACAGCCCAGAGAAATTTCAGCCCTCACCTCTTAAGGTAAGTAGAAAACATAGGGGATTTTCCGGAGCCCCTCACCCCCAACATTTTGCCATATGTACCAGGTACTGCCCTGGAAGGAGAGGCTGTGTACCCCCAAATTCTTTGTGGGAAGTGTCAGGGTATGGGGGAAGATGCACCAAAGGCAAGCAGAGCCAGGGCTCCTGGGGAGGAGAGCCACATGGCTGACCTGCACACACACCCAGTGGCCCGGGTGTTGGGCACAGGAGAATGTCGTGGTATAGAATGGACACTGCTGTTGGATTTGAGGGCCACAGCTAAGGCTGGGTTTACTGTGAGCTGAGGAAAAGAAGTGAATGGCCTCAGATCTGTAAAGGGCTTGAATAGGCACAGCTGATCCATTCCCACCTTCAGGGACAAACGAGGCTCCGGAGGGTTCATGAGTCCCACAGGTTTTGGACATTTGTAGTTCCTCTTCCCCTTTTGTGAAATGTAGAATAGTGCTGTCCTTTTGCCCCTTCTGCTCATCTGCCTCTAGCTGTACAGTCACCCTGTCTTTAGGGGAGAAGTCTCATGTTTACAGCGCCTGTGAAGTCAGGGAAGACATTGTCAATGCTGTTTCGAAACTTGGTTTCTCCACTGTTCAGCTCACAAAAGTATTTTATCACCCTCACGCCCCTGCTCTCACCCAGAAGCACAAAGTGAAATCTGCCCCCGGCAGCTTCCCAAGCTGTAACCCACAGCAGGTTCCTAGTTGTTTTGGACCAGGCTGCTGGTCATGGCCCTTGTCCAACTTTCTGAGATCTCAAAAAGAAGCAGCCCAAGCCAGGGTGAGTGGCCGTGGGAGGGTTATTTGGTGTTTCCCCTTCCCTCAACTTTTAGTTTTGAAAAAGCGAAATCTGTGGAGAAGTTGCTAGAATAATGCAACAAATACCTATACACCTCACCTAGATCCCACAGTTGTTAGTTCTTCACCACATTTGCATTCTCCCTTTCTGTGTGGGCATCACAGATACAACATTAGTATAGTGGGTGAATAGGAAAAGAAAAAAAAAGCAAACAAACTCCCACCCTCGAGAGGGAGACGCCAGAGGAGACATCGCTAGCGTACGCTCATGTCACAGAGAGCAAGGGGGCTTCTGGAGAATGCAATGGCAGGGAAGCGGGCAGACACCTGTAGAGAGGTTTGCAGTTTTAGAAAGGGTTCACATTTAGAAAATGTCAGGATGATAAAAGGGTACAACTGCTATGGAAAACAGTATGGTGGTTCTTCAAAACATTAAAAATAGAACCACCATAGGATCCCGCAGTCCCGCTTCTGGGTATATCTGGGTGTATATCTAGAAGAATTGAAAGGATCTTGAAGAAATAATGTGCACACGCATGTTTGTAGCAGCAGCATTATTCACAGTAGCCAAGAGGTGGAAGCAACTAAAGTGTCCATCATGGATGAGTGGATAAAGAAAACGTGGTCTATCCATGCAATAGAATATTATTCAACCTTAAAATGGAAGGAAATTCTGTCACGCTGCAACGTGGATGAGCTTTGAGGACTCATGCTGAGTGAATAAGCCAGTGTGAATATTTATTTAGTCTTCAACTGTTTGAGTTGCATGTCTCCTGGCATACAACTCCTAAAATCGTTAGAATCTGAAAAGAAATCTTTTTATGTGCTAATGAATTGACTGCTGGCTGGTTAGAAAAGCACAAAAAGACAAATACCATCATGAGGTTCCTGGAGTAGTGAAATTCACAGGGCAGAAAAGCAGAATGGTGGCTGCCAGGAGCTTGCATGGGGTGTAGGGCTGTGTTACAGAACAGAGCTGGGGTCCGTTCACCCGGTGCAGTAAAACCACGTGTCTGCATGAAGGTGTTTTGCAGGGGTAGAAAGAGGGTGTTTATTTGCAGGCGCCAAGCAAGGAGATTTGGGCAGCTCACACTTAAGACCCGGCCTTCCAATGCCTTGCAGGGAAGGGTTTTTAAAGGCAGAGGTAAATTTCAGGAAAGCAGAAGTCACAGGCAAAATCCTAAACCAATCTATGGAGGTTACACATTGCTTTTGGCCTAGAAGGATAGCATATCTTGATGTGGGGGCTTACAGGATGTAGGTGGATTCAAAGATTTTCTGATTGCAATTGGTTCAGGAGGCAAAGCTTTGTCTAAAAATTTGGGGTCAGCAGAAAAGATGGTTAGCTCTGACTTGTGGGTGTGACTCCCTGCAGACCTCTCAGGAAGAAATTCAGAATAAAGAGCAAGGGTCAGAGTACAGTCCTTAGCTCCACCTTATGTGAGTTCTGTGCCAGCAGGTCCCTTTGGTGGGAGTCTGGGTTTCTGAAAGACAATCAGGCACATAGGTTAACATGTCTTTGGTTTCTCTTTTTTCTTTTCTTTTCTTCTCTTTTCTCTCTTCTCTCTTCTCTCCTCTCTTCTCTTCTCTTCTTTCTTTTCTTTTTTGAGATGGAGTCTCACTCTGTCCCCCAGGCTGCAGTGCAGTGGCGTGATCTCAGCTCACTACAACCTCCGCCTCTTGGGTTCAAGCAATTCTCATGGCTCAGCCTCCCAAGTAGCTGGGATTACAGGCGCCCATTGCCCTGCCCAGCTGACTTTTTTTTTTTGTAGCAGAGATGGAGTTTCATCATGTTGGCCAGGCTGGTCTCAAACCCCTGGCCTCAAGTGATCCACCTGTCTTGGTCTCCCAAACTGGTGGGATTACGGGTGTGAGCCACCACGCCTGGCCAAGATGTCTTTAGTTTCTCTAGGGAACCAAACATCTCCAGACTCTAACTTGCTTGGCTATTGTTTTAGGCTACTATTACCTTCTTGCTTATCAAGTTACTTACTTACATCTCAGGGATAGCAAGGTACCTGGAATTTCCTTTGAAAGAAATTGATTTTCCTTTATGTCCATGCTCGGGAGGTCTGCAGGCCCCTAAAACGGGATCTCTCCTCTGTCTCAGGAGTGGGAATGGGGAGTTGTTTTTTAGTGGAGAGGGCAGAGTTTCAGCTTCACAAGATAAAGAAGTCCTGGAGATCTGTTGCACAACAATGTGAATAGACGCCACTGAACTGGGCCTGTACAAATGGTTAATATGGTAAATTTTGTTGTGTGGTTTTTTTCCCACAATTTTTTGTGTCAGGTGTGGGAGCAGCCAGTGTGTGTTGTGGGGTGGTGCTGAGGATGAAGGGAGTGAAGTGGTCAGATCGTGCAGGGCCCACTCAGGACCCTGCCTTTTCTCTAAGGGCATGAGAAGCTGGTGGGTTTTGAGCTCAGTGGCCACATGATCTGACTGAAGCTTTTTCATTAGTGTTTTCTAAAATTTATTGATTTGAAGTTCACATAAAGGGAAGCATTTTAAAGTGTATGCGTCAGTGGCATTTGGTCCACACAGTGTTGCTCACCCGCCACCTCTATTTAGTTTCCTGATGTTTCCATCACCCCAGAGTAAAACCCGCCCCATTGAGCAGTCACTCCCATTCCCCCTTCCCCCAGCCACCTGCAGCTACCAAAATCTGCTTTCTGGTTATGGATTTACCTCTTCTGGATGTTTCCAGAAGTGGAATCATATACTATGTGGCCTTTGGTGCATGGCTTCTTTCACTCAGCACAATATTTTCAAGGTTTATTTACATTTTAGCGTATATAAAAACTCCATTGGTTTTTATGGCTGAATACTATTTCCTTGTGTGGATAAGACCACATTTTGTTGATCCATTGATCTGTCAATGGACATTTGGGATGTTTCCACCTTTGGCCTAGTCAGTTTTCCTGGCATGTCCCTGGTTGCTATGTTGAGAATAGATCGAAGGGCAGAGAGGTGTGGAATTGGGAAGACCACTGAGGCATCTACTGCACTCATCTGGGCATGAGATGATGGCAACTCAGGTGAAGGGTTGCTGACAAGCACTCAAAACCCACTTGATGGCCGGGCGTGGTGGCTCAAGCCTGTAATCCCAGCACTTTGGGAGGCCGAGATGGGCAGATCACGAGGTCAGGAGATCAAGACCATCCTGGCTAACACAATGAAACCCCGTCTCTACTAAAAAATACAAAAAACTAGCCGGGCAAGGTGGCAGGCGCCTGTAGTCCCAGCTACTTGGGAGGCTGAGGCAGGAGAATGGCGTGAATCTGGGAGGCGGAGCTTGCAGTGAGCTGAGATCCGGCCACTGCACTCCAGCCTGGGCGACAGAGCAAGACTCCGTCTCAAAAAAAAAAAAAAAAAAAAAACAACTCACTTGATGTTGAACACAGAGCCAGCAGGGATCGCTCTTGGACCAGATATGGGGTGTGCAAAAGAGATCAGGAGTCCGGGATGACCCTGATATTCTTCGCATGAACAAATGGAAAGTTGAGATCCCTGTGAGAGGAGGGGCCGGGGTGGGGTTGGGGGGATATCAGCCTTTCCATTGTGGACATGCCACGTGTGAAACTCCAGCTAAATCCTGAATGGAGAAGTGAAAGACAGGGTTGTTCCTGTAAGTTTATTGCTCACGTTACGAAAGACGCCATGGTCACGAGTGAACCACTCCCTAGGTTGATAAGGAAACCAACACAGAAGATCTCTTTCCGGAAGAAGCAGCCAGCCTCCTGAAGGAGCGGTCCAGCCGCCGGGCCCGAGGGTCACCTTTTGTTCGGAGTGGCACGATTGTCCGTTCCCAGACCTTCTCACCTGGAGCACGAAGCCAGTATGTTTGCAGAGTAAGTTGGAATTCCTTTGTCACCTGTCTGGAATGTTTTCTCTTCCGTCCCCTTTGTGATGTTTTTTTTTTTTTTTTCCCTGCTGTTTATACTGAGAGGCATATGTATTTGCACCAATGATACCAATCCATGCACTGCGAACTTTACAGGTACGCGGTGATGACATCAGTGCTGTGATCTCCCCACATGCCTTACCATGCTTATCTAACTCTGGATTTGTTCAGGGTTCAAATTCATCCCTTCCCCCAGTTTTCAGTGTTGTGTATGTACTGACCTGTGGACAACAAGCAGAGCGAATCATTTCTACCTCAGCGTAAAGAACAAGTGGAAGCAGGGGTTCTCTTGAATGGGTTGAGCTGGAGGAGCCGGGAACCTGAGTGGCTTGGAGCCCTGTGGGGCAGCCAGGTCTCTGGGTCAGAGGGTGGGTGGTCCTGGCAGAGGGGCAGTGGGTTCTCACTCACCCACATGTAAATTCCCAACCTGCGGATGAGTGGGAGACACTCAGCAGTTCTCAGCCATGGCTGCGCCTTGCAGTCAAATCACGGGGGGAGGGGGGGCGGGATTCAACAGATCCTGGTACCCACATAACACCCCAGAGATTTGCCATTGGTCACAGGTAAGGCCTGGGCATCAGAACTTCCGGAAGCACCCAGATGCTTCTAGCATGTCACACAAGGCTGAGAACCCCAAGGTGGGTGGAGGGAAGACTCGAGCCAGTGTGGTCAATGAAGGTAGGACAGAGTGATAGTGCCAGCATGGACTTGTACAGAAAGGGCTTTTAAGGATGGTGGCTCATGACACAGTGACCTGGAGGGGCCGTTTGGTTGAGAACCATGACCCTTCCTGCACCTCTGAATTGAGGCTGTTGAAGAAGGCATCTGCCCTGGAGGTGCTGGCTCCATGAGGGCAGAGCCAAGGCAGATCTTCAGAGAGGGAAGGACCTGAGACCCTCAAAGGAGATGTTGCAAACACTGTGGGAGGGGGACTAGGTGACCAAAACGCCCTCTCAGCCATGTTGGTGAGACCTGCCACTGTTGTCCTATTGGTCCAAAGTGTCCCTGCTGGCAACTGCCCCGGATGGTGCTGGGTCCAGTCTGGGCCCTCCCACTCGTCATGCTTCAGCCCCATGGAGGCTGATGCTCAAGCGCTTGGCTGGACGTTCTAGATGGAAGGCCACACTCACTGTCCTCCTTGTTCCAGGCTCCTGCCAAGTCACCAACGTGCTGGCTGGAGGGGCTGCTTATTGAGGGGGGAAGGGTGCAAGCAGGTAGTGCTTTGCTTACCCAGAGGAAAAGCTCTGTGTGCCTGCGTAACAGCTGCACTTACTGGCAATGCTTCTGGATGCTTCGCTGTTCTGTATGTTTGTATGAATGCCGTGCAGGTGTGCTGCCAGGCCGTTGCACTTCCTGAGTAGGTTTACTGGCGTGGAAAATAAGGCCATGAAGGCAGGGATGTTGGATTTCTCAGAGTCACACTGATCCTGAGGTGACACCCTGCCACCAAATGAAGGCTGTAATGACTTGATTCCCATAAAGATGACATTCTTTACTTTCTTGTTTAAAAGTACACCCTGTCCTTTGATGAGCACAGCTGCAGTTGGCAATGTTGGCTTATCCTACTACCAGGAGTGAGTCTCTTTTGGAAGTCATTTTCCCCAGCTATTGCCAAAGCCACAAATACAGCCCATGAGAAAGACTGAGGAAAAGTGAACCGTGCTGAGGGCAGTGCTGGCCTTCGTGGGGACTGTATAGGGCACGAAACAGCGTTGGTATGGATCACATGGAGATGTTGTTGGCTCAGTTAGCCTGGAAACTGGGGGAGGGTTTCGTTTGCTTGTTTTTTTTTTTTTTTTTTTTTTTTTCATTTTAGCAGAAACTCTTGTTTAAATTGAAACCCAAAGACCTTCTCCAAGCACCAGTAATCATAAGTGCACTTGAGGGCCTGTGAAGAGGATGAAAATAATCCATTCTGAGACTCTGAGTACACACAGAGAATGAGCTGTGCGTTGCTGAGAAATTGTTTCTGAACATCATTCTTTTTGGTACAGCTTTATCGTAGTGACAGTGACAGTTCAACGCTGCCCCGGAAGTCCCCCTTTATCCGAAACACTTTGGAAAGACGAACCCTTCGCTATAAGCAGGTGTGTGCCCTGTAAACAAATATGGAATCTGTGCTTGCCCTGTGAGTGATTTTTACAAGCCTTAAAAGGTAATATTTAAGGTCATGTAAATGAAAAGGTAGTATTTGTATTTCTTGTTTACTTAACAGATGTAATGTCATAATGTTGCTAATATTTCTTAAGATAGTATCATGGTTTCAGATAATCCATGATCTTTACATTCTTCAGTATAATAAATAACCATTTCTATATAATAGGCTCTTTTCTCTTTTTTTGACAGGAGAATATATATAGTTTAGAAAAGTTGAGTTTTTCAACATATTACCTTTCTGGGCAGGGATCGTTTGAATATATATATATATATTTTGTGTGAGTGTGTGTGTGTGTAGAGGGGAAGAGAGACGGAAACACAAAAAACCCCTGATTTCCATATGGCAGTTGTGCTCTACCACATAGAAGAGTGGCTGCTGACTGGGAAGAAAAAGAAAGTTTATAATTTGGGCCAGGTGCAGAGGCTCACGCCTATAATCCCAGCACTTTGGGAGGCTGAGGCGGGCGGATCACCTGAGGTTAGGAGTTCGAGACCAGCCTGTCCAAAATGGTGAAACCCTGTCTCTACTAAAAATACGAAAATTAGCCAGGCATGGCAGCACGTGCCTGTAATCTCAGCTACTCAGAAGGCTGAGGCAGGAGAATTGCATGAACCCGGGAGGGCGGAGGTTGCAGTGAGCTTAGATCACGCCACTGCACTCCAACCTGGGAGACAGAGCAAGACTCCATCTCAAAAAAAAAAAAAAAAAACAAAAACAAAAAACAAAGTGCATAATTTGGCTGTAGAAGTGTCTCATAGCAGCACTGCTGCTGGCATTTCAGACAGGCTCATTCTTTGCTGTAGGGGCTGCCCCGTGCACTATAGGATGTTGAGCAGCGTCCCTGGGCTCCACCCACCAGATGCCAGTAACACCCCATCACACACACAGCAGTTGTGACACCCAAAATGTCCACAGACATTGCCAGCTGTCCTCCGGGGGACCAGATTCTCCTGGTTGAGAACCATGGAGCTCTGCTGGGAATTCAGCAGTGCTTTTAAATAATGTATATTAAGTTACAACCCATATTTGCATTTAAATTCTGTGTATGTGCAAAATAGTGTTGTGTGTGTAAAAAGCATGCCGTGACTCAGGCCACTGACCCATGGTGATTGGCAAATGGATTTGTGGTTTTGCTGCGGTGACTGCTCTCTCAGGGTTCTGTTTCCCGTTGGATGGGAAGTACAGTTCGGCAGACAAGTCTTTTCCCTGTCAGGGCTTTCCTGAACATAGGTATGTTTGCTTACTTGGGGCTTATATGGGGAGGCAGCTTTGGAAAGCTTGCACGTGTGTGTCTGCGTGTTTGCGTGGGTGTGTGTATACTTTTTCTTTTAAACAACAAGTACTCCTGTGGTTCATAACATACTTTCTTTCCCGTTGTACAGTGGATCATTAAGATTTTTCCATGTCCATATATTTTTTCAACTTGTTACAATGGCTACATTTTATACTGGCCTTGTAATTTATTTAATGTTTCCTGCTGTTATAGACGTACGGTTTTTTTCTGTCATAAACCTTAATGGGACCACTTTTGCATGTCAACAGTTATGCCTTTCGGATGCAAGTTTGCTTTAGACATATATATATTCTCAAATGGCCCTTCAGAAAGATTGTGCCGTTTTTTGGTCCTGCCAGCCCCATGTAAGAGCATCTGTTGCTGCACACTTCTGCCAATACATAGGTCATCATTAAAGAAAAACACTTTGCCGTTACTAACCTTGATACTGAACTAGAGATTTACATTACTCTTGCCCACATCTGTGTTTTTTAACCTTGGGTGTGCTTAGAGAAATACAGGTGCCTGACTTGTCTCCTATTGTGGAAGAACCTTCTAGAAGGCCTGAGTGAGGGCTCACAGCTGGTGTCTCTTGCAGTCATGCAGGTCTTCCCTGGTTGAGCTCATGGCCCGCACCTCCCTGGACTTGGAGCTGGATCTCCAGGCGTCGAGAACACGGCAGAGGCAGCTGAATGAGGAGCTCTGTGCTCTCCGTGAGCTGCGGCAGCGGTTGGAGGACGCCCAGCTCCGCGGCCAGACCGACCTCCCACCCTGGGTGCTTCGGGACGAGCGGCTCCGTGGCCTGCTGCGGGAGGCCGAGCGGCAGGTGGGGTCCCCTGTGGTCAGCTCCCGCCTGCACCTCACTGCTCCCTGCTCCGGGCTGTGAAGGGAGCCTCCCAGACATGGAGGTGGTCCCTGAAGTGTCCCACCGCTGGGCTCTCGGAGCCCCTTCTCCCTCTGTGGCCTGCGAGGATGGCGTCTGTGTGGCTCCTGCGTCCATCTGGAGGCTGCGGGTGCTGGAGGAAGGGTCCTGGGCCCTCTCCACCTTGTGGGGGAACATTCTGGGTCCCTAGTTGTCAGGCCTGACTCCAGCCACCCCTGGCCTCCGTCTCCTGGGAGGAATTCCTTGGGGGGTTGTGGGGAGTGTGGGTGAGGTGGTCCTTACTCCCTCCTGGGTCGCACCTCACTGACTGTGGTTGGTTCTTCTGGGCTGCAGGGCTGGCAGTGACTTACTCATTCTTCCTTAAAAAAAAAAAAAAAAAAAAAAAAAACAATAAAATCACCTCGTTGGTCCAATGTTGCTGTTCCAGACAAGACAGACCAAACTTGACTACCGTCATGAGCAAGCAGCTGAGAAGATGCTGAAGAAGGCCTCCAAGGAGATCTACCAGCTGCGTGGGCAGAGCCACAAAGAGCCCATCCAAGTGCAGACCTTTAGGTATGGCAGAGGCGCAGCAAGACTGGCCCCTTAGTCCTGCTTCCTCCTTACTGTTGTGCCTTTGGCATGGTAGAAAGTACACTGAGTCTGTTTTTGCTTTTCTTTTGAGACAGTCTCACTCTGTCACCCAGGCTGGAGTGCAGTGGCGCTATCTCATCTCACTGCACCCTCTGCCCCCTGGGCTCAAACAAGTCTCATGCTTCAACCTCCCGAGTAGCTGGGATTACAGATGCATGCTGCCATGCCCGGCTAATTGTTAAATTTTAGTAGACTGGGTTTTGCCATGTTGCCCAGGCTGATCTCAAACTCCTGACCTCAAATGATTCACCTGCCTCGGCCTCCCAAAGTGCTGGGATTACAGGCGTGAGCCCCTGCGTCCAGCCCCATGAGTCTTTAAAACCCATGGAAAGTCGAGAACAAAACAGGAATCCACTGCAGCCAGTAGTGTATTTTCATGTTTTTATCCTGATCTTTTTTCCCTACAGTTTTTTTCATGCCACTTCTAATCATAATGTGGGTTCAATTTTGCATTTAGCATTTTTAAAATTAAAATATTCCATGTTGCTGTATAATCTGCTATCTTGTAATGTCTCATCTAATAGTTTACTCAACCACTATATTTTATAACATGCTGCTCATCTTCAAATGTTGGCTATTGTAAATAACAGTGATAAACATACACATACATATATGTCACCCCAACCCCAGACAGGGTCTCACTCTGTCACCCAGGCTGGAGTGTGGTGGCTCAGTCATGGCTCATTACAGCCTTGACCTCCCAGGCTCGAGTGATCCTCCCAACTCGCCCTCTCAAGTAGCTGGGACTGTAGGCACATGCCACCATGCCCTGCTCATTTTTGTAGAGATGGGGTCTCACTGTGTTGCCCAGGCTGATCTCAAACTCCTGAGCTCAAGCAATCCACCTGCCTCAGCTGCCCAAAGTTCTAGGATTACAGGCATGAGCCACTGCACCCGAGCACCCTTGCTTTTTCAATTAACTTTTGATTAAGGCAAAATGTATCTGCAGGAAAGCTGTATATCATACACACATGGTCCAGTGAATTGTTACAAACTCGTCCTAGGAATCGATCATTATCAGCGCCCCTAGATCCCACACTAGAGTAACCACCACCTTGAATTCTAATAGTATCGATTGGTTTTGTCTGTTTTGTTTTTGCTGAGGGGATTTTTACAGATATATCAATATTCTTTTGTGTCTGTGGAAAAATTAAGCTGAAATTCACATAACATAAAATGACCATCTTACACTTCAGCCTTTGGCGCATTCACAATGTTATGCAACCACCCCCTCTGTCTAGTTCCAGAACATTTTTACCACCCCAAAAGTAAACCCTATACCCATGAAGCAGTCACTCCCCCTTCTCCCTCCCCTAGCTCTGTCTCTAGGGATTTGCCTTTCTGACTGTTTCATAGGAATGGGATCATATCTTACGTGGACTTTTGTGTCTGGCTTCTTTCCCACAGCCGAGGGTTTTCGAGGTTCATCCATGTCGTAGCCTATGTGTCAGTGTGTCCTTCCTTGTTAAGGGTGAATAAAATGTGTCTGACGGTTAGCCCTAATTTTTGTATACATTAAATATTCACATAGTTTTCACTTTTTCATTCATTTGTTAATACGACAGGTATTTCCTGAGCACCTAATATACACCAGGCATTGTTCTAGGCACCGGAGATGAAGAAACCCCTGCCCTTATGGTTCTTCATAATTCACATTTGGAGACTCTGTATACAAGCACATGTGTTGTTGGGGACTTAAATTCAGTTTGTTGTATGAATAAGAAAAGCCATGATTGATATGAGAGCCACCAGCTTTCCGTGTCTTCATATCAGCTTCTGACGTGTAATTCTCTCCGGTCCCAGGGAGAAGATAGCATTCTTCACGAGGCCAAGGATCAACATACCTCCTCTCCCAGCCGACGACGTCTGATGGAGTGCGTTGTGCACATGAAGTATTTATCCGCCTGTTTTATTTTCATGAAGTTCTTAGACTAGCTGAATTTGTCTTTAAAATATTTGTGCAAAGCTATTAATATACACATTTTGTAAAAAAAAAAAAAACACGTATATCTATTCATATATATTTTATAATAGTGACGGCAACAGGGCTTGGTTTTTCCTTGTTGTGAAATCGACATCTCTGAAGACAGGTTATTTTATAAAAGATCAATTATCATGTTAAGAATGTACAGTTTTTATGCTGTTTTATTTGACTTAAAGGCTGGAAGACAGAAACGAAGTGAGTTCAGGCAAATTCACTGTATTGTAATTTATTTATAGTACTTTTTTTTCCTTGAAGGAAAATACTGACTTTAAGATGTATTTTAAGACTGAAATTTTGTTCTTTAGTACTTTTCATGCAGTAGAATGGAACTTGGGGCTGGTTTTGTTTTTGACACCTGAAATGCAAACACTATGTGCTAAATTTGTCACGTATCATATGTGCATTTACCATGTATATTGTACACGTTCACTCCCTTGATGTCATGTTAAAATGTCCCCTGCAGTGATTCAGTCGTGACTCAGAAGCATGTGTGTGTTGCAGAAGTCAGTCTCCGGCGTGGGCTGCACGCCAACCGCTCATTTCTGTGTTGTCTTCGGATACATCTCTCTGTGCTCAGCGTGAGTCTGAAGCAGGCGCCAGGGCCTCTGGTGTATGGGGCTTCAGCCTGCTTGCTTGTGGTGGCTGTCTGTCGGTCTTCAGCCTGCCTGTCCGTGGTGGCTGTCCATGCTGCCCGCCTCCCCCCACCCCGCCCTGTCCGACTGTAACAGACCAGGAAGGTGGCGGAGGAACTCCTGCCACGCCACTGTGTCATGAAGGAAAGTGAAAGGGAACGAGGAAGTAGGAACGCCCACGCTCGTTGACTCCGTGGATGAATATAGCAGTTAGGACATAGACACCATCACCTTTGAAGGTGCTTGTTTGGGGGAGGAAAGGACATACGGGTAACTAGAACTACCCAGCGAGTCGTCCAGAGGAGAGGATTGGGTTTGAGTCAGAAGGCTCCCTGTACTGGAGTCGACTCACTATTCCTCAAGAAATCTTAGAACTAGCTTGTGAGGAAAAACATTTTTTAATGTAATAAAAATATGCCATTATTCTTTGAAATGCCAAATGATATAAATATTTTGCCTAATACATATTTATTATAGATGAAATGCATTCTTCTCAATGAGGCCTCGATTTGAGTCAATGGGGTGGGCCACAGGAAATGTCAGAGGAACCAGAACTCAGAATTCTTCCTCCTGGACCTTTCTTCCCTTCCCTTGGAGATACCCCTTTGAATCAGGCCTCTCTCTTCTCATCAGTCTGTAGCTTCCCCCCTTGTATAACCTGCTTTCCTTTTTACATTTATTAAAAGTGGATTTTGTAAAAGCATTTCATTGACACGCGACCTATCACGGACAATGGAATTCGTCAGTGGTGGTAAGACTGAAATCCTGATGCTTTTCACACTTCTTGTCTCTTGCTATGTATTTCTGCCTCTAGCCTTGCATGTTTTGCCTTTTTTTTTTTTTTTTTCTTTTTGGCCAATTCCTTTTTATATGTGCCCACAACAGAGGTGGGGAGACACGGAGCACCCTGGGTCCTTCCCAGTGCTGCTGGGCAGGCCCTGTCTCCAGGCCCCAACTGTTGAAACTTTGAAGGGCAACAAACAACCATCCACACTGCCAGACCCTAGACTGTTCAGGGGTGCAGCTCATTTCCACCTCGGCCCCAGGACACCGAGCCTGTGCCCCACAAGGATCTCTCTAAATGGGAGGGATTGAGGCTACTTTTCTGCCAACCCCTGTTAAGTAGTTGTGTGGGGAAACCCACTGTGTCAGTGCAGGAAGCCCCAGACAAATGTTTTCAAATAAATTTCACTGCCCAGCCTGCACAGATTTCCATTTGAAGTACTTCCCTTCCACCCTGACACCCAAAGGGTTTTTTTTTTTTTAAGAGACAGGGTCTTGCTTTGTTGCCCAGGCTGGAGTGCAGTGATGTGATCATAGCTCACTGCAGCCTCAACCTCCTGGGCTCAGGTGACCCTCCTGCCTCACCCTCCCAAAGTTCTGAGATTATAGGCATGAGCCACTGTGCCTAGCCTATTTTCATGTTTTTCTTAGACTCAAGGTCTTGCTCTGTTGTCCAGGCTGATCTTGGACTTGCGAGCCACCATGCCTGGCTGGGTTTTTTACAAATAGAATCTCACTGATAGCCCGCAAGAAACAGATGCCGCCCCTGCTTCCATATCAGTTCAAGGAGCCCTTGTGTTTGCCACCTTTCCTTTGAACTTCCCCCTGCCTCCCTGCCTGTGTCCGCTTTTGCAGCTCAGTGCAGCCATGACAAGGAAAGAAAAGACAAAGGCAGGCCAGAGAGCTGGGCAGTTCTCTGCAGATGCAGATGCAGGCAGTGGAGGTGGCCCGAGCAGGCAGAAGGACACCAAGCGCCCTATGCTGCTTGTCATTCATGACGTGGTCTTGGAGCTTCTGACTAGTTCAGACTGCCACGCCAACCCCAGAAAATACCCCCACATGCCAGAAAAGTGAAGTCCTATGAGCTGAAGGGGTGTTTCCATCTATGTTTCAATCTCTCCATCTACCAGGCCTCACGATAGAAGAAAAAACCAAAACGCTGGCAGGTTTTAGGAGCAGTTCTGGTCTCAAAACCATCAGGATCCTGCCACCAGGGTTCTTTTGAAATAGTACCACACGTAAAAGGGAATTTGGCTTTCACTTCATCTAATCACTGAATTGTCAGGCTTTGATTGATAATTGTAGAAATAAGTAGCCTTCTGTTGTGGGAATAAGTTATAATCAGTATTCATCTCTTTGTTTTTTGTCACTGTTTTCTCTCTAATTGTGTCATTTGTACTGTTTGAAAAATATTTCTTCTATAAAATTAAACTAACCTGCCTTAAGAACAGAGTGGAAATGTGTGGTTTTATGGAAAAAAATGTTTAATTATGGAAGCTTAAATATATAAAAATGTGTGTTTTTAAGCATAAAAACAGAGTTATAAAATCAGAGAAAATAGTAAGCTGAACACAGGCCTCATCCAGCTTCAACACGATCAGTCATGGCTGTCCTCTCCTTTACCCTCCAGCCCACCTCCTCCTCTTAGAATTTGAAGCAAAGCTGATACGCCTTATCGTTTCATCTTGAAATATTTCAATATGTATTGCTAAAAGAGAAAAACACAATAACCTTATCACATCCTAGCACTTAGTAATTCCTTACTGTTACTAAATATCCAAGGTGTTCTCTTCCAGTTATCTCGTGTCATTCTTTCTTTAACTCTTTGAACAGAATCTAAACATGATCCACTTATTAGGATTTTTTTTTTTTTTGTCTGTTTTTCTTTTTTGGTAATAGTTTTTCTTGATATATAACTCACATGACATACAATTCACCCATTTAATATGTATAATTCAGTGGTTTTAGTATATTCAGAGTCGTGCCAATATCACAATTTTTAGAACGTTTTC